AGGAATCACCTGTGCGCTGGATAGATGGCAATGTGGAAATCAGCCTCTTGAAGGTCGATGGCTGCAAACCAGTCTCCATTGTCCGGTGATGGTATTATGGTAGTAATTGTCACCATTTTGAAGTGTTGCTTCCAGAGGTAGTGATTCAACTTCCGCAGATCGAGAATGGGCCTCCATCCTCCCGTTTTCTTCTGAGTTAGGAAATAACAGGAATAGAAGCCTTTTCCTCTGAACTGACTTGGAATCCTCTCTATAGCACCAATAGACAGAAGGTGATGGACCTCTTGTCTTAAGAGATCCTTGCAAGATGGGTCCCTGAAGAGGGACGGGGTTGGTGGGGTGGTGGGAGGAATGGAGGTAAATGGGATTGTGAATCCAGATGCCACAACTTCCAAGACTGGTTGGTCTGATGTTATGGTGGCCCAATGATGGTAAAATGGCTGTAGACGGTGGTGAAACAGAAGGGGGATCTGATGTTGTGTCCCGACAATATAAACTGTCTGTGTGCCCTCGACTGAGGAGTCAAACCTGCTGCTTTGTGGCAGACTGATTGATCGCGCAATCTGGCTGAACGCGTCTGCACTCCAGACGCTGCTTTGGGTGAGAATGGTCGTAGGGGTAGTGCTGCTGCCTTTGATATTGGTAATTGTATCTCCTTTGATATGAGTAGTATCTCTTGTATCTTTAAGGAGGAGTATACATCCTTAGAGTACGCAAGGTCGTATGCGAGTCCTTCCCTGAGTGGAGGACCTTGTCTGTCTTGTCTGCAAAAAGCCTCTGTTTCTCAAATGGAAGCTCTTCTACTTTACTTTGCAGTTCTTTGGGAACTCCAGCTGTGGCAAGCCAGGACGATCTTCTCATAGAGAGCGCCATAGCCGTGGAGCATGCGGCTGTATCCGCTACATCTAGGGCGATCTGTAACCCTGCCCTGGCCGATGTATAGCCCTCCTGTATGACAGATTTCAAGAGTAGTCTCTTGGAATCAGGGAGGTAGTGGACAAGCTCCATCAATTTCGAGTAATTATTGAAATTATGATTGGAAAGCAGAGTGGCATGGTTCACGATGCAAAGGAGTACAGTGGCCGATGAATAGACTTTCCTGCCAAAGAGGTCTAATTTTTTACTGTCCTTGTCTGCACAGTGTTTCTGTATTGTGGCATCTTGGACCTGTGCTGAGCCGCATCAACCACGAGAGAACTCGGTTGTGGGTGATTGAATAAAAATTTGAGACCTTTGGAGGGAACAAAATACTTTTTGTCGACCTACTTTCTCGTTGGTGCTGCAGAGGCAGGGGTCTGCCAAATTTCTTCTGCAGCCTCCATAATCACTTTGTCAATAAGAAGAGCGATTTTTGACTGCTGTTAAGGGTGCAGGTTTTTCAGCAGATGGTATTGCTTGCTCTGAACCTCCACCAGCTGTACCTCCTGAGATTCCGCAACCCACTTAAAGAGTTCCTGAAATTGTTTCAGGTTGTCTGGAGGGGACATGTCCCCTGGAAAAACCACTTCAACAGGGGAGGATGAGGACTGGTCTGTTGGGGATATATCGGGTTGTTGATCCTCCCCCTCAGATAACTGACCCTCCTCTGGTTTGGACTGCTGGGGTTGAGTAGCAGGGCTCTGTGTAGGCAGAGTTGGGAGATGCTCCTGCTGTTGTGAATGTGCCTTGACCGCAACATGCTGATAGGCAGGTGAGTGACAGCAGCATGGAGACCTCCTATAAGAATAAGATATGTAATAATGGTGAGAGGAACAGTGTGGTCTGTGGTAATGCTCATAATAATGCTCAGAGTGACTCGGTGATGAGCACCTGGATGATATAACGCTGCCATGCCATCTGTAATATATTGAGTGAGAGATCACATTGGTGAATGAGGAAAGTGTGGAGACAGCCTCGAGGATAGTGGTGGAGAAATCGAGCTGTGCCTATCAATGTCTCACATGCTCTCGTAGCAGCTCCCGATATGGAGATCTAAGACTACGCCAAGGGGAATGAGAGGCGCTCCATATCCAGTACCAAATGTTGCTCCGTATGGGAGAGTGATGAGTCGGCAGCGAGGGAAACAGTGCAGAAGAGAAAGTCGGAGATGGGGAAATAGGACACCGACAACTACATGTCTTATCAGCAGCTTTCCTCGTTGCTGATGTGGTGCCGCTCCTTGAAGTTAACCCTGCCTCCCCATTGTCCGGGGCCTTTGGTGCCGATGTCTGTGGCTCCACCGTCAATGGCACTGAAGTGTGCGGCACCGTCAGTGCTGAGGGTGTCGGCACTGCTGATGGTCGTGTCATCACTGGTGCTGAGGACGAATGGGTGAGACTCTCAGCTTGGGTTCCTGGTGCCGCTGTCGATCTCGGTGCTGACAGTGCCCTGATACTCAGTGCCGGGGTTGTCAGCTTTTTAGATTTAGCGCTCACAGATGTTTTTGAGAACACAGGGGCAGTGCCGAATGTACCCGGTTTATCCCCTCTGCTGATTCTGCTGACCGGTTCAGCGGGTAAAGGACATATGGGGTACACGTTCATTTTCTTTGCTGTGGTCACCCCCAGAGAAGAAGCTCTATGTTTCTGCGTCATACCCGCCTCTGAGCTCGGCCATGGAGCGGGGTCCAAAGGCTGTAGGGCTTTGTTAAATAAAATCATTTTGAAGCACATTTCTCTGTCCCTACATGCCCTGGCTGTTAGCTTGGAGCAATCCGTGCACTTTTGTGGGACATGCGCCTCACCAAGGCAATGAATACAGGCCGAATTGCAATCGGACGCTGGAATGGCCTCACGGAAAAGGGAGCACTTTTTAAAATCTGGTGAACCAGGCATTATAAAGTCCAACTAGGTATTGTGTTAGGGCCTAGAACTAAATATCTTTCTTTCTTTCTCTTTCTTTCTTTCTTTCTTTCTTTAAGGTAAAAAACCGCTAACAATTAAGCAAAGGTTTTTTTTTAAACTAACTAGAAAGAACTATAGAACACAACTTATTAAACTAAAACTAACTATTTTGGTGTCTAACTATTCACAGGAAACTCTGACCAGATGAGGAGAAGAGTGGAGGTCCACTTGTGACTGAAGACGGTTGAGAGGAACTGGTGGGAGCTGGACTGCGTGCAACAGGAGAGAGGAACGAACAGTGCGAAATGCTACCCACGCATGCACGGTCTAGCTGACTATAGCTATTGAAAGTCTCTGACCAATGGCTCTGGGACGAGCCCGACACCTTACAGTGGAGCATCCACGAGGACACCACTTGAAGAACTTTTTTTTTTTTTTTAACAAAGAGAAAGGAAGAGAAGGAAACTAAGTATATGCTAGTAGGGAGCTAAGTAACAACTGTAAAGTAATTAACTACAAAGTAGTGAGGTGCTCCTGAGTGCTCTGACTCATAGCCTAAGGTGGTAGAAAACGAATTAGTGGGGGGTTGGTTGATGGGTGAGCATTTCCCGTCAACACAGCATGGTGGAGATACTGTTTTAATTTGAGGCAAATTATGTCATCTTAGGTCATGTCTCCACTTAAGGGACAATTAATGCTCCTACAATTGATCTTCCAGGGTTCTCTGATAGACCTGCTGTGGGGCCACCCCAGAAAATTGATGCAAGGTATGTCAACTCCAGCTATGCAATTCACATAGCTGGATGTGCGTATATTGCATCAATTTTTTCTTCCAGTGAGGACCTGGCCTTAAGTTACGTAACTTACATAACTAATGGAACTTAGATCAACTTACACCATTAAGGTAGACAAGGTCTTTGTGATAAACTCTTACTTCCCTATGAAAGATATTGGGTCTAAAATGTTAATACATGATTACAATGAGGGCTAAAGATCAATTTTCCCAACAGTTTTCCTGAGATATGCCTATTTGTTTCACATCTTCATCAAAACCTTTAGAAAGCTATAGCTATTGGGTCTGCTCACATGATATCCTAAAGCACTGAGGCTGCGTCTAGACTGGCATGATTTTCAGCAAATGCTTTTGACGGAAAAGTTTTTCCGTTAAAAGCATTTGCAGAAAAGAGCGTCTAGATTGGCACGGACGCTTTTGCGAAAAAGCACTTTTTGCGCAAAAGCGTCCGTGCCACTCTAGATGCGGTTTTGTGCAAGAAAGCCCCGATCACCATTTTTGCCACTGGGGCTTTTTTGCGCAAAACAGTTTTTAGCTGTCTACACTGGCCCTCTTGCATAGCAAGAGGGCTTTTTCCTGAACAGAAGCAGCATAGTATTTGCGCAAGAACACTGACAATCTTACATTAGATCATCGGTATTCTTGCGCAAATTCAAGTGGCCAGTGTAGACAGCTGGCAAGTTTTTCTGCAAAAGCAGCCGCTTTTGCAGAAAAAATTCATATTTTCCCCGGGCCAGAGCCAGAAATACATAAGGGCTACGTCTACACTGGCACCTTTTTCCGGAAATGCTTAAAACGGAATACTATTCCGTTTCCAGTTTTTCCGGAAAAGGAGCGGCTACATTGGCAGGCTGCTTTTCCGGAAAAGCCCTTTTTCCAGAAAAGCGTCTGTGGCCAATGTAGACGCACTTTTCCGGAAAAGAGCCCTGAGCGTCATTTTCGCGATCGGGGCTTTTTTCCGGAAAAGATTACTGGGCTGTCTACACTGGCCCTTTTCCGGAACAATGTTCCGGAATAAGGACTTATGCCCGAGCGGGAGCAGAATAGTTTTTCCGGCATAGCGGCTGATTTTGTACAGTAGATCATCGTTGCTTTTCCGAAAAAGCAAGCGGCCAGTGTAGACAGCTCGCAGATTATTCTGGAAAAGCGCCTGGTTTTCCAGAATAAGTGGCCCAGTGTAGACACAGCCAAGGAGTCTTGGTACCAATCTACCCCCTCTCTTCTTTCAGCTATTTTAAAACATAGTACATATACTGCAAAGAAATGGGAGGATAAATCAAGCAGATCTATACAGACAGTTATTTGAAATTGTTACAGTAAGCTTTTTTCTTTTGCAAAGTTAACTGAACATGATGCATACTGTAAAATAACTCCATTTTACATACCTAACTCTTTCATAGCATCTTGTTTATTTTTTTCCATAATTTTATTTATTTCCTGTAACATAAAGGAAAATGTAATTTCTATTAGAAAAGACATATATCTTTGTGAGTTCATATTTTAAATACATTTTAGGACAAATAAAACTGAAGTTGATTAAATATGGGGGTTAGCAGTGAGTGAGTTAGGGTCAGAATGACATTAAGTCATAATCCATATTGTCGGAGAGCAAAGGTGTTGTAGGACTACTTAGAGAAGGTCTAGTTGATTAAGAATCTTGGAGGTGTGCAATATGGAGCAGCAGCTCCATCATCCTTTGAAAAAGTGCAATATACACTTCGTGTATCAGCTCTGCTAAAATTTATTTGTAATCATTCAGACACCTTTACTTTAGTTATTTTACCTTCCAGTTATCAATTTAAATCTATTACTTAAAAAAAATTAAAAATTTGAAAGTATATAGTTTCAACCATTTCTCAAACTTTCTAGTATTTTCCCTCACCTTAGAAATTGTCTCATGACCAGCAATCTGTTCAATTAAATATTTTGTATCTTCTTCACCTTGGACATATCCCTTGGCAATATCATACCTAAAAGTTAGCTGTTTGTTTATTTGTTTTTCCAACAGGCTTATTAAATGTGGTATCACAAGCTAAAATAAATAAGAATGAAATAAGTCACATCTGAAAAGAAAATACATTATTTAATAAAAATATTTAGTTTTCTAAAAGGAATTCTAACACAGATTAATACATTTTACATGTGTTTCTATTTCATTTAATTTCGATGTATGTAATATTACAAGACTGTCTATCCAGATGCTCATTGTATTCTTAATAAAACTTAAAAGGTCAGCAGTACAATTTAATATAACCTACTTTAGTTCTCCAAAAAAACAAGGTTGTTACTACTTAGCAAAAAATCTCCTAAACTTCCACTTCATAAAATATTTTGTAAATGTTGTACTTAATTTTTAAGCTGGGGTGGGAGTGGGGGTAGAGAGAGGAAATAGTTTGGCCAATATAGCTATAGTGAAGTCAAAGGAGGAAAACACCAAACTTTCATATTAAAAGAGACACTCAACTAAGGATTATACGTAAGAGTTCTTTGCCAACTAAATTAACAGCTTCCTCCTTGAACTTCCTATTTTAGAATCACTAAGGGTATGTTTATAATGCACGCTTATTTTGGAATAAGCTATTCCGCAATTTATTTTCCAGAATAGCTTATTTCAAAATAGTGCACCTACACACAAAAAGAACGTGTCCACAAGGAATGGACACTAACTAGCATTTAAGGCAACCTGGAACCACATCAGGCAGGGCATCAGGTCAGCAGTTACTTCCTGGAGCTGCTGCCTGAGGTTATCTGAGATTCAAGCTTAAAGGTACCCACCTGTACTGCTATTTCACAGCTTCTTCTCTTGCTTGCCTACCTCTCTGAGAATACGTCTAGACTACAGGCTTTTGTTGACAGAGGCTTTGATACTGTCGACAGAGTATCTAGACTACATCCAGTTCTGTTGACAAAGCAAGCCGCTTTGTCAACATGAGAGTGTAGACACAAAGGACAGTGCAGATGCAATAACACTTTCTGTTGACAGAACTCTGTCGACAAAAGGCGTTATTCCTTGTAGAATGAGGTTTACTGCCATCAACAAAACTGCCGAGTTCTGTTGACGTTATGTCAACAGAACTCAGTGCTAGTGTAGACGCAGGTATAGTTTTGTTGACAAAAGTCCACTTTTGTTGACAAAACCCTGTAGTCTAGATACACCCTGAGGGAAAGCAAAGCATTTTCACCGCATGTTTTGGTTGCCCTTACCTTGCACTTTTCAGCACTCCCAGCTATGAAGCTGGAGCTACCTCTCAGCACACCTTTGGACATTATATTTGAAAACTTGTGGATATTGGGAGAGGTACCAGATGATTGAAAAAAGTCAAATGTAGCCCATCTTTAAAAATGTGAAGGAGGACAATTCAGGGAACTACAGACAGGTTAACCTCACCTTAGTCCCTGAAAAAATTATGGAGGGGATCCTCAAGGAATCCCTTTTTAAGAACTTGGAAAAGGGGAAAGTGATCAGGAATTGTCATCATGGATTCACCAAGGGCAAGTCATGCCTGACCAATCTGATTAGCTTCTATGATGAGGTAATGAGCTCTGTAGAAACAGGGAAGTCAGTGGCTGTAATATACCTTACCCTTAGCAAAGCTTTCGATATGGTCTCCCACAATATTATAATCAGCAAGTTAAGGAAGTATGGATTAGATAAATGGACAGTAAGGTGAATAGAAAGCTGGCTAGATTTTCAGGCCCAAAGGGTAGTGTTCAATGGCTTGATGTCTGGTTGGCAATCGGTTTCAAACAGAGTGCCCCAAGGATCGGTTCTAGGGTTGGTTTTGTTCAACATCTTTATTAAGGATCTTGATGAAGGGATGGGTTGCACCCCCATCAAGTTTGCAGATGACCCTATGCCAGGGGGAGAGGTAGATACATTGCAGGGTAGGGATAAGATCAAGAGTGACCTAGACAAACTAAAGGATTGGGCCAAAAGAAATCTGATGAGGTTCAACAAGGACAAGCACAGAGTCCCGCATTAGGGACAGAAGAATCCCATTGTTACATGCTGGGGACTGACTAGCTAAGTAGCAGTTCAGCAGAAAAGGACCTGGGGATTACAGTGGATGAGAAGCTGGATATGAGTCAACAGTGTGCACTTGTAGCCAAGAAGGCTAATGGCATATTAGGGTGCATTAAGAGGAGCATTGCCAGCAGATCTAGAGAAGTGATTATTTCACTTTATTCTGCACTGGTGAGGCCACATCTGGAGTATTGCATCCAGTTCTGGGCCCCCCACTATATCAAGGATGTGGATGCATTGGAGAGGGTCCAGCGGCGGGCAACCAAAATGATTAGGGGGCTGGAGCACATAACCTACGAGGAGAGGCTGAGGGATTTGGGTTTATTTAATCTGCAGAAGAGAAGAGTGAGAGGGCATTTGATAGCAGCCTTCAACTTCCCAAAGGGAAGTTCCAAAGAGGATGGAGAGAGGTTGTCCTCAGTAGTGAGGGATGGCAGAACAAAGAGCAATAATCTCAAGTTATAGTAGGGAAGTTCTAGGCTGGATATTAGGAAAAACTATTTCACTAGGGGAGTTCTGAAATACTGTAATGGGTTACATAGGGAGGTGGTGGAATCTCTGTCCCTAAAGATTTTTAAGTCCCAGCTTGACAAAGCCCTACCTGGGCTGGTTTAGTTGGGGTTGGTCCTGCTTTGGGTAGGGGGTTGGACTCGATGACCTCCTGAGGTCTCTTCCCGCCCTACGAGTCTATGATTCTATGCAATGGCCCCTGACTGTCATGCTGCAGTTTCTGCAGTCTGCCCTCTAGACCCTGCAGGAACACAATCCCCAGCTGTTTGAGCAGACCCTCAACCTCTGTCTGTGAGAGCAGCTCTTCTAGCTGCAACCCACTTTGCTTTGCCGCTTCTGACGGCTGGACACCAGTTCCAACTCACAGGATCAGCTCATCATGGAGTGGTAGGACGACCAGCAGTGGCTCCAGAATTTCTGCATGAGGAAGGAGGCCTGTCTGGAGCTGCGTGCCTGGCTCACCCCTCCCCTTGAGTGATGGGATACCCAAATGTGAGCCACCATCCCCTTGGAGAAGCAGTTGCCATCACTATTTGGAAGCTCACCATGCTGAACAGTTACCAATCCACTGGGAACCAATTTGCTGTGATGAAGTTGACCGTTGTGGCCCTCGTGATGTAGGTATGGCCTTCTCAAGCTGCAGTCTTGGAAGTGTGCATGTGAAGGGCTGGAAAGGGGAACCCTAGGGAAATTGGAGTATGGGGTAGGTGGAGGGTGGGAGGGGAAGCCCCCTTTCCCAGGTGGTTCTCCAGTCCCACCCTCACACAGCCCTGCTGGAGGGGTGGGCTACATAGAGAGTATCTCCTGGTGTGGTTGGTGGGTAGAAGGGGAGGCTCGGTGACCTCCAAAAGGCTCTGGCACCCCTGTGATTTTCTGTTTTGTTTGTTTGTCTCCATTTCCAGGTGATGAGGGCCATCAACACTATCCTGCTGCGTACAGTCATCTACCTTGGTGACACAGACTCTATTGTTGCCAGCTTTACCAACAGGCCTTCCCCAGTTGCGGGGGGAGGGCTATTGACAGCACCCACATCTGCATCCAGGCCCCTGACCACCGGGCATCTCTGTACATTAATTGCAAGGGATACTTTTCCATGGTCCTGCAGGCCCTGGTCGACTACTGCAGGCAGTTTACAGACATCTACATCAGGTGGTGGGGGAAGGTGCATGACTTCCATACCTTCAGAAACTCCAGCCTATTTCAGAAGCTAGAGGCTGGCACTTTCTTCCCCGAGTGCACCATCAGGGTTGGGGATGTGGACATGCCACTGTGCACCATGGAGGATACAGCCTACTCTCTCATGGCATGGCTTACGAAGCCCTACATTGGACATCAAGACCCCAGCAAGGACTGCTTTAATGCCCGGCTGGGCAGGGCTTGCATGCAGGCGGAGTCATCTTCGGGTGTCTCAAGACAAGGTTCAGATGCCTCCTGACCCACTTCGATGTATGGGAGCAGAACATCCTCTAGGCGGTGTCAATGTATTGCATGCTCTACAACTTCTGAGAGAGGAAGCAAGAGGCATTCCTTCCTGGGTGGGAGGGCAAAGCCTTTGAACAGCTGTGCACAGCTGCCATCTGGCAGGCCCATCAAGATGGTGTGTGCATCCAGGAGGCCCTGAGGGAGAGTTTTTCACAAGGCCCCCTCTCCCTGGGGCCTCCCCATTAAGGACTTCCTTACCTCTCCAACAACCCCTCCCTTTTCCCCTCCACCCCTCTTCCTTGCAGAGACAATAAAAAACTGTTTGGTTTTGAAAAAAAAAAAACTCTTTGGTTATTTATATGGGGTAGAAGTAACCAGGAAGGGGCCAGAGAAAGAACCTAGAAATGGGAAGCGGGGAGGTGGAGGGATGAAAACCTTGGAAGAGGAGGAGGGTACTGAAAAGGGGGAGGAAAGGGGAGGAGAGGCTCAGGGCTGGGGCTAGGAGTGATGCTAGCTCTAGTGGTTCTTCTGCCTCATGGATGGGGACCTCAGCAACCACAGGGGGGATGGACGGGAGGCTGGGGGAGAAGCAAGAGGGCTAGAGCAGGGTCAGGCATGGGAGGAGGGGCAGGACCAGGAACTGGGACAAAGGCAGGAGCAGGAGTTGGCTCCAAGTGTGTGAGGAAAGCCTACGCGGTCGCGTACATGTTGCATCCCTACTGCAACAACTCAGTCCAGGTCTCTGTCCGCCACTGCGTATCCTCCCAGACCTCCTACACCAGCATCTTGTGCAGGGCCCCCACATCAGTTCCTCCTGCTTTCTCCAGCACCTGCAACTCCCCCGCTGTCAGGTGCCTACCTCGGGTGGTGTTGACTGCCCCCCCTCTAGCAGCTGGTCCAGCTAGGGGGAATAAATCAAGATAGTCAGTCATCCCTGGAGAGACTGCCCCGGAAGCCTTACCATCATCTGTGAGCTGAGACAGTTCTCAGGTCAGATGAAGATGATGTCCTGGGAGCAAAGCCATCTGTGGCCTGGACAGCAGGCCCTTTCTTACAGAGGCCCAGTCATCCCCAGG